CTCATCCAGCGCCGCGTGTCTTGAGTTTGGACCGAATGATTCGATTGTCATTCTCAAACCTAGGCATGGCTATGTCCCGAAGGCGATTGGTACCCCGTTCAGGGCTCAGATTATCTCCCTATCGGCTCTGCCTTCATCCGATAGTGAGCGCGATGCCAATCTCCTTTGTCCGGTGCGGGCTCTGAGATTGTACACTACGCGCGCTGCCGCGTTCAGACGCGCTGAGCAGCTTTTCGTGTCGTTTGGGGGGCGCACCAAGGGTCTGGCCGCCTCAAAACAGACACTGTCTAGATGGATAGTGGACGCTATCGCCTCTGCTTACGCATCTAAATGCCTGCCCTGCCCTCTGGGCATCAGGGCGCACTCCACTAGAGGCATGGCCTCATCGTGGGCATGGTCCTGTGGAATTTCCATTCATGACATTTGTGTGGCCGCGGGATGGGCCTCCCCGTCCACTTTTGTCAGGTTTTATAACTTGGAAGTTCCCGCCTTGCAGGCAAAATTACTAGCTGTCTGACGAACAGCTCTCTAAGAAGCTGCATTTCTGGAGGTCCCTCACAACCGGTTCGCCCCTTGTGCTCTCCTGTAATGCTTATACACTTCATGTGCCCGCTCTGCTGGCCCCATACATGCTTATGTGTACACTTCATGAGCCCGCTCTGCGGCCTCTTTGTACATTCACTCCACGTTAAGAAATTCCCCCGGTATATCCCTGGGTTTTTCATGAGTGGATTCGTAGCGCGCACGGCGTTGGCCAGGTGTTCCCGCAGCGTAAGCTAGCTTACGCAATACGAGAGAACCTCTCGTAAGAGAACGAATCGGTTACCTAACGTAACCTCGGTTCTCTCTAGAAGAGGGAACGAGTATTGCGTTCCCGGCCGTGCTTGCGCTACTAGCGTTTCGCTTCACGCTGAAATAAATCAACATATAAGCCTGGGAGAGCGCCTTATATACACCATGGCCACGCCCATTCTGGCGGGTCATGACGCAATGAGCGCGCGGGCGCCTCTCATTGGAAGCGGGTTCAGCCCCGCTCTCCCATAGGCTTAAGCAGTTCTCTCTGAGCGAACCAATGAGCTGCTAGCTAGCCCGCTCTAGGTCTGCCGCAGAGGAACTGCGTTGTGTATGGATACAAAATTATGAAATAATTTTTTGGCTTCAATATCTCAGCAAAGATGAATCTTTCCCGCAGCGTAAGCTAGCTTACGCAATACTCGTTCCCTCTTCTAGAGAGAACCGAGGTTACGTTAGGTAACCGATTCGTTTTAATCTATCGATCAGGTGTCCATAGCCGTTAACAAATGCAACAAGATAACTGATAATCTATGTGGGGAGACCGCGGGGATGCTCTCTCAAAATTTGATACATGGTAGCTACATTTGTCTGCTACAAATATAACCCACTTGGACATGTACAACACAATCACTGATTTTGTGCGTTAATGTCAGAGTTTTACAACCTACCCCACCACTGAGGTGAGTTGTAACACTATCGGGGCGGGGATTGATGTAACAAAAGAGAGGTTTGCTGAAATAAGATCCACACAATCTACATTTGCCGAGATGCGCATTATTTCTAAAAATGTGCACAAAAAAATCGAATGAGCTCATTTGGTGGATAATGTTTTTATCCGATAAGATATGCGCATAAGCTATGATAGAAACATTTAGCCTAGTACCTCATAAAATCCCTCATTGCGCAACAAAAAAAACTCATGTGATTTTGTCTTAACAGGCATCATTGGCATCATTTAGCTTAAGTTTTTGCATGTAGGCCTAGGTTTGAAGTTAGCATGAATGCAAAGCTAGAGAACTGTCTGTAAACTGGCGTCGTGTTACAACGGTCTCCCTTAAAAATGTATGATATATTTATTGGCCACAACTAATTTAATAGGCTATAGTAAATATCAGCATAAATGACCTATCTCCAGAGTAGGCTACACAAATTATTATAAATGTCACAAATCTTACCCATGAAATCACTGTGTAAACATATGTAAACAAAACAAGAGCGCCACGACGTGGAAGCACAGTTGGGATGTAAAGCCTATCCTAAATGTTTGTCTGTATTTTGAGGAGGGGGGGGGGAAGGCATTTGGTTGTTTGAATAATTAGTGTTACTCTTGCTTCAGCTCTCAACACATTTAGCCTAATGTCTAATGATAAATGAGCGAGGGTTGATTTTGAACAAATATGCACCTCTAGTGCTAGACTTTTTATTAAAACCATGAGGAGGATATTTCATCAGGACTTAATAAAACATGTTGTTCCCATGGAATAAAACAAAATTGTATTATCATTGGCTCCAAGGGTTCATCTTCATCTTTTAAGCTTTTACATTCTTCCTCGTCTGTTGGGAAATCTCTGTTCTTTCAGAGGCAAACCTTCAGCGTCCACCTCATTCATCTGTAATCAGACGGGACATCACTGATCAAATACAGTTTCACACTGGGAAATTAAGCTGCTGATGTTTTCCCATTAGAAAGAGTCATGCTCTTACAATGTGTATAGGTGAAAGCTGCTCCATCGGAGTGTCCGCAGGAATAGACAGCAATGTGTCACCAGCATCCATCATCTGATCTGACAGAGACAGATATTTACTCTATCACACATCTCAATACTTTTAATATTCTTAGTTTTTGATGTCCACCCTGTGTCACTCCCGGTCTCCCATACTTAATAATAAAAAAGACCAGTTGGATGAATAGAGTTTAAATGACAGCAGACAGAAGAGGACAAGAGGATAATCTCACCCTGAATGTTGCCTCCACTTCACCAACACTTCTCTTTCCGCCAGGAAGCCAACCGTATGACCAGTGCTGGCAAAGACTAACCTCCAACACACACACTAGCATTAACAACTGGACCAGCACCCTTCCTTTCCACTCCATGCTAAAACTGAAACAAAGACATTTAATAGGCAAAATCGTACTCTCAGGTAAACATTCATATAAAATATATGAAAATTGTTTAGTTGTTGATAGCAAAAAATAAATAAAAAAAATCTTACAATGAAAAAAAAAAGCACTCTTATCCAATTATTTGGTTTTATAAATCTATTGGAACTAAATTATTGATCATAGTATACTAATATTGATCAAATAAAACAAGAAAATTATAAAATTGTATTTATAAAGCACATTTTAAAATCAACCTGGGTTGGCCAAAGTGCTGTACAAGAAAGTAAAAGTAAAAATAAAAACAAGAAACATGGAAGAATTTCAGAAGATTAAAAGTGCAAGAGAAAATATGCATGGATTAAAATTCAGCTGTAGGAGCTGTTTTAACATAAAACTATTGATATATCAATATCCATATTGATATTGATATGAGTACAGCTCAAACTTATTGAGTCTGAGGCGAAAAATTGACTGTCAAAGTACAACAATTTACGCAACAGCTCAACATAACCATTCAAAACATGCACAGAAATACAATAGGCCTGTTTTCTCTAAGCAATATACATATCCATAAATGAAATTCAAGTCTATTTAAGAGGTGAAAGCAGTGGGTACAAGATACAGCAATTAAATATTGCTGTAACTTAAAAAAAAACTCAACTTAAAAAGTTACCTGGTTTTGAGTTCATTGAAATAAAAAAATGTAAGTTAATACAATGGAGATTAATAAATAAAAACTCAAAATATTATGTTATCTGAACCACATTAATTTGACAAAAGATAAATGTTGTGATAACAAATCATGAAAATATTTTTTTACAGTGATACAGAATTTTAAAGTCTTACCTGCGGTCTTTGTTTAAGATGAAGTGTGTTGTTCTTGGTCTCCTTTATACAGTCCTCTTAAAATGAGTTGCAATGCTCTTTCGTCATTGGGAGTCTTGCGACCACAGGGCAGGTGCAGCTTTCTCTCTAATGCACACTCTAATGCACACCTGGGGCTGGATTTCCAAAATTGATAAAGAACTGTCACGGGGCCCTGGCTAATGGACCTGTTTAAAGTGTAAGATTTATTGAATAATGTGTTTAAATGGTCCAAAGAGACACTCTGATGGCCAGTTCAACACACAGGGGAAAAGATGAGATATAAAGGCCAAAAGAGGTATGGCTCTGTCAGAGACACTGACTGAATCATCTGACTGCCAATCAAGCATTTGCTTGGGATTGTTTTTAAATACATCTATAAATTATGTTCCTAAATAACTAAGTAACTAACTAACTAACAAACCAGCTGTTACATGGTAATTGTTTGCTCACAAATTTCCTTGTGTTCTCTATGTCTAACTTTGATATAACCAACCAACCAACCAACCAATTAATTCAATTTTATTTGTGCATACAGTACACTATCAGTAAAAGATTTGGGTTCAGTTTGAGTTAGAGGTTTTTTTTATGTTTTTGAAAGAAGGCTATGTTCACCAAGGCTGCATTTGTATGATAAAAATACACTAAAAACAGTAATATTGTGAAATATTATTACTATTTAAAATAACTGTTTTTACATTTTAATATATTTGAAAATAAAATGTATTCCTGTGATGGCAAAGCTGAATTTTTAGGATCATTACTCCAGTCTTCAGTGTCACATGATCCTTCAGAAATCATTGTAATGATGATTTTCTGCTCAAGAAAAGAAAAGAACAGAACAGAACTGAAAGTTCAAAAGAACAGCATTTATTTGTAATAGAAATATTTTGTAACATTATAAATGTTTCACTGTTACTTTTGATCAATTTAATGCATCCTTGCTGAATAGAACTATTATAACTACTTAATAATTTAATTTAGCATTTATTTGTTCAAACTATAAAGTTTGAACCAGATGGATTTTGCTAAATTGTATTTTAGTTATTTTATTTTTTTATTTTTGTGTAAATTATCACTAAAATAAGAGGAAAAAATAAATAAAATAAATGTAAAATATAACCACATTTATTTATTACACATTCATATTTTGTTAACCTCAAAAGGTCAAATGGCTCAAAACGACCTTTATTTTGAACTGAGGGCCTGTATTCTAAACTACGACACTTCCGGGGCGTGTAAGGAAAATCCCGCGAGCTCAGACTCAAAACAAGTGAAGATGTCCACATGACCGTCATTCTCAGCAGTTTATTTATCAAGCTATAATATAATTTATCCGCCGTAAATCAACAAGAAGAAGAACTAATAAACTCTCACAGGTAATTTCCAGACTGGTATCTACATTAACAAATATCTTATGCTGCTGAAACCGTAATAATGCATGGCGTCTGCACGTTAAGTTACATTAACCTCGAACCAAATCAGTGACGTGATCTGTTTTGCTCGTCTCAGCTTTTAGGCTATAATGAGACATGAACATGGATGTTTTGAGAAGACCTGCCATTCCCGAAGACGCGGTCCAGTATCAGCTGTTTCTGGCTCACCCTGACCCATCAGACGCAGAAGCCAATGAGAAATCCCTTAAACAGATCCTGCAGAACATCCTCGCTGAGATCGCCCCTCTTCTGGTGCCGTACATCTGGCAACATCAGCCCTTCAATATAAGATACCACCCTGAGAAAGGTAAGAGTAATACACACACGCGTGTGTGAGTATAATTTCTGCCATTCTCTTTGTGGTAGTCACGAATGTATACGCTCCACAGAATTGCTTATTTTATCATGCGTTTGCAAAGAGGCCTTTATAAACAGGTCACTTCTTATTTTTCATTTTCACTCCATAGGTGATGTGCCCGCACACCTGGGTGGTGTTACTGAGTTTGGTGATAATGTGGAGGATGAATGGTTCATCGTTTACCTGCTAAAAGAGATCACACGCACCTTTAGTGATGTAGCTGTTGTTGTCTATGATAATGATGGACAGTTTATTCTGATTGAAGCAGCTGAACACCTGCCAAAGTGGCTGGACCCTGACAGCAGTGAAAACAGGGTTTGTATTGGAAATTTTAAATACTAGTAGTACCATGATATTATCATGATTTTTGGACCATGATATTCTTTGAAGTACATGCAAATGCAACTGATGTGCATCAATATGGTAATCATTTTGATGCATTCCTGTGGACTGCCGTTATATATGAGGATGAGTTGAACTCGAATAACATCCAATATTGCAGTAACTTGTTTATTAACTGGAAACAAAAATATTACACTGTCAAAAAAAGCTACCCAAAATGCAGGAAATTACCATCATTAAGCAATATTGTTGGTGCTTAATTTTCAAAGTTTTCATAAATATTATGTTACACAATTATTAATTCCACATCTATATAAATAAATAATTAACCTGTGTCTCTTACACATTTAACATTAAGATAATAACTTTTGATTCCAGCACTGTCACCACAGTTTGTATTAATCAGTGATGGATGGTTATCATTTGCAGGAAAAAAAAATTACTTTTAGAGTAAGGCTGTTCTTGTTAATGTTGTGTATATAGTGCATATATAGTCCTATTGGCTGGCTTATGACTTGTAATGTCTGTAATTGTGTTTCTCAGGTGTTCCTGTACCGGGGAGAGCTGCACATATTACCCAACCGTACACGTTCTGGAGAGGTTGGCTGGCCCAGAGACTCAGTGCCTGCTGTGGGTCAGGCTCTAGAGGTGCTGAACTCACACACTGAGAGCTGTTTAGCCAAACAGCCTGTACGCTCCGCTCTGGCCAGGAGGCTGGATGGGTGAGAGTGATGTCATTGTTTAAAGTGCCCCTATTATGCTTTTTCAGATATTACCTTTCATGTAGTGTGAAATATAGCTGTTGGTCAATCTAAAAGGTCTGCAAAGTTTCAGAGATCAAAGTGCACGATAAATGGAGTAATTGTCTCCCCAAAACACAGAACTGATTCAGAACTGCCTGAAACAAGTCATTAGTAATTTCAGCCTCACTTCCTGCACAAACTTGTGTAGGTTTGTAAATTTGCATAATGCCAGTCTATGGTCCTCATTGGCTGCCCATGAACAATGTCGACTTTAATCCGTCCTTAAACACTGTAGTTGTAGCTGAGGCCTGGAAGAGTTTGGTTTGTGTTGTCGACAAGTTCTCTGCGCTGGGAAAGCAAATCCACTTTGCATCATGCATGCACTTCCAAAGGATGAGGACTCGTGCTTGGATTGATACGGTAAAACCGACTCCATTGTTACTGTTTATGTCACTGAGTATACAAGTGTGGAGGAGGAGGCCTCCGGAGCTGAAATTCTATGGTAATGAGCGTTGCATTTCTGATACACACTGTTTCAGATACTGTGAGAAAAGAGGTGGTGCTGCAATGTACGTTATGGTTATGAAAAAATGTGTGTTTTTTTTACCTTGGATGCATGTAAACCTATTATAGGAGACCTTTAAAATAGCATGAGAGGGGCACTTTCAAATAAGCAATTCAGTTGTTTCTGTTATAGTGCTTTAAACTTATTTTTACAAACAGTAAACAGTTGTTTGTGTATGTGTGCAGGTATCCAGATAAAATCCAGCAGAATTTCCACCGCACCCACTGTTACGTGCCTGCGGGCATCGCTGTGGTGTTGTCTAGGAGGCCTGACCTTATAGCCCCAGCTGTGTCTACTTTCTATCTGCGTGACCCTGTTGACCTCCAGGCCTGCCGAACTTTCCGCACCTTTCCTCCTGACACCAGAGTTATGACATCAGTAAGAAGCAGTCTAAATTTTGTTCTGAATTTATCTTTATGTGGGAAAATACTTGCTGAATTCTGTCACATACACTACCGGTGAAAAGTTTGGGGTCCGAATAAAAAATAAAATAAAAAATGAATACTTCTATTCAGCAAGGATGTAAAAAATATATATATTTAAAATAAAAATAATAAAATGTATATATTTATTTATTTAATGCTGTTCTTTTCAACTGTATTCATCAAAAAATCTTGAAATAAAATGTCACAGCTTCCACAAAAGTTAAGCAGCACAACTGTTTTCAACATTGACAATGAGAAGAAATATTTTTTTTATCACCAAATTAGCATACTAGAATGATTTCTGAAGGATCATGTGACACTGAAGACTGGAGTAATGATGCTTTGCCACAGCTTTGTTATATTTATTGAGAACTCCTCCAGTTACTACAAATCTGTTCCCTTCCCCCTTTCCTGTAGGTGAAGTTTACTCGATGCTTGTACGCACAGCTGCAACAACAGAGTTTTGTTCCAGATCGGCGGAGTGGTTTCACGCTTCCCGTCCGCTCTCATCCCCAGTACAGAGCTCACGAGCTGGGAATGAAACTGGTGAGTGCATGGCATGAGTCGTGTACAGAGAAAGCGGACTATAACAATGCAGATCTCATTTCATAGAGATTGTGTTTTTCTCCAAAGATTGTACCATTGGAATACATTTTTCTTATGCTCAGAAATACGATTTGCCATGTAATACATTTTGTAACTAGAGTACATGGTGCTAATGTATTCTACCTTGTGTTCATACCGAAGGCCCATGGCTTTGAAATCATGTGCTCCAAAAGTGGACAGTCTTCATCAGAGCAAGAGACTTCAGTCAGCAGTAACCCATTATGGAGAGGCTTTTTAGATAGCCTTAAAAAGAATGGGTACTTTAAGGTAGGAAAGAGTTTCTGTGTTGAAAATACTTGAAGCAGATGATGCAAAGATTCCTTTCCCTGAGAGATCATTTTATCTGTGTGTGGATATAGTTTTTACTTATGTGTCTGACTATTTTTGTGAACCCAGAGTGAGCTAGAAGGATCTGCTCGATACAAAGACTTATTGACATCAGCAGAAAGTTTCTTCAGGCAGTCGGTAACCAGCACTCATCGGTGAGAGTGGCTTTTTTATTTATAGTTTACTGTCACAGTATAGAGTTAATTTTACTTTCTCTGTGTGGCAAAGTAGTTTACATTTCCAAGCATTCCCTTTGCCATTAATTGTAATAATCCAGTGAGATTTTTGTATACACAAGGAGTCTGACAACAGCCGGTATGATCTGATCTCACCATCATCGAGTCTGTCTGGGATTACATGAAGAAACAGAAATAATTGAGACAGATTAAATCCAGAAGAACTGCGGCAACGTCTCCAAGATGCTTGAAGAAACCGACCTGCAAAGCTACAGTACTGTGAAATGTTTTAGGCACTTGTGTAAAAATGCTGTAAAGTGAAGATTCTTTTAAAAATGATGTCATAAGTAGATTTTATTTATCAATTAACTTTTATTAAATATATCAAATCAATGTTTGGTGTGACCACCCTTAGGTACACTTGCACATAGTTTTTCACGTAGCTTTGCAGGTCGGTTTCTTCAAGCATCTTGGAGATGTTGCCGCAGGTCTTCTGGATTTAGTCTGTCTCAGTTTTTTCTGTTTCTTCATTAAATCACACACAAACTCGATGATGGTGAGATCAGGTCATACCGGCTGTTATCAGACTCCTCGTGTATACAAAAATCTCACTGGATTATTACAATTAATGGCAAAAGGAATGTTTGGAAATGTAAACTGATATTTCCTACTGGCACACTACAGCAAAAGATATAAATAACTGTCTTTAAACCATTTTTTGTTGGTGAAAATACTAGTACATTTTGTTTTATCATTTATCGGAAATAATACATTTAAATTTATCAAAATTGGCAATTATACCATTGAACTTTTCTTCATCAAAGAATCTTTTCAATATTTTTGCCATTAATATAAGTTAGAGTAACTTTTTATTTATTTATTTTTTTACTGTATTTTGATTCAATAAATGTATCCTTGGTGAACATTAGAAAATCGAACTGAGTCCAAACTGTAAAATAATAGCGTGTATATATTATTTTAATCTTTCTCAAGCCCTGATATTCATAAGCCTGGTGATGAGGTGTTGAAAGTCTTGGAGGGCGCCTCCTTCAGTTTGGAAGACCTCAAAAACCAAGAGGCACATCTACCACCAGAGGACAGTATGTACCAATTTTTCTCCTATTTAAAAGAGGATTGTTTTCTCTTTGGCCTGCACATATCGAGTCTTTTCTCTGCTTTTCCTGAAAGTGAATCTAGCCTGTGAATTGAGCATAAATATTATTTCTGTCTTGTCTTAATCAAGTATTGTCCTCTCAATCTCCCCCTGTAGGTGATGCGTGGTTGGACATCTCACCTCAGGAGCTGGAGAGGCTGCTTGAGGAGAAAGGAAGTCGAAGGATGACTGATGGCACTCGTAAGACGGCACAGCCTGATGAGGAGGAGCAGGAGGAAGAAGCTGGCTACAGTCTGATAGCTGTAACGCAAGGCATGAAGAACTTCATCAATGCCATGTCTTCTCATGAAGGTGCTGAAATACCCAGGTAATGATACTCCATCTGAATAATTGTCAACACTTCAAGTTCAGTTATTATTATAGTGCCATGATAATTTGACTTTCTTTTCCTGAAATTGTGTTTCAGGTCTTGCTTGGTTGAGCCCTTCAGTTTTGATCCAGATGCAGTAACCAGTGCTCTTGATAGATTGCTAGGTGAGTTTGACTTTCTGTGATATTAATGAATCCTAATGCTCTAAAATCTTTGTTAGTGGTCAACCGATATATCACCAATATATATTTTGGAGATAATCATGTCATTTTTTCAATTATCGATACGTTTTTATGTTTGTCCAGTGTGTCGCGACCAGGACTTTTATCGTGACAGCACTTGTATATATTTGGCCACTTTTTTCACATTTTGAAAAAATAGTTTTCCCACACAGACTTACCAGATTACTGAGTGCGCTGTTGGGTACAATGTTTACTTTCTTTTTATTCATATTTTTAATTTCTTTATTTGTGAAAAATACTATAATAGGATTACATAATCAAGAAGTTGCCATCTAAAGTATAAATCTGTTTATTTTTATTTCAAGTTATGTATTTCTAATTTATTAAATATAATGCAATTTGTTTTAATTTAATTTCAGCATGTTTTTACTGATATTTATTACATAAGTACATATATATCAGTACCGGTATTATATCGGCCATTAAAAATATCGTCAATATCGATCGACCACTAATCTTTATATGTTTTATTATATTTTAAATTGAATTATCTATACTACAGAAAAGCACTTCCTGTTTTACAGGAACTAAGGATGAGGAGTTAGACTCTGACGACTTTGATGATGATGATGATGATGATGATGATGATGATGATGATGATGACGACAACAATGATGGTGATGAAAATGAAGAAGTGCAGAATGGTGGCTTTCAGGAACAAGCAGGTTCAGAGGAGCTGGAGAATCTGAAGAAGTACATGGCTGAAATGGACCAGGAACTGCAAAGCACAAATATTGGCCAAAGCTTTACACAGAATAACAGAGTAAGTATCCACAGATGTTGTTTATCCTGTGGCCATAACTTTGTAAAAGCTTTTGATTTATTTTTATTTTTCTGCTTCCTTATAGGCCAGTAATAAAGCAGATGCATCTAAAAGCTCATCAGCCACCTCTGGGTCAGAGCTTGAGGAAGAAATCCAGCCGCTAGATGTGGATCTCAACCTGGTTACAAATTTACTTGAATCTCTCGCTTCTCAGGCGGGCCTAGCTGGGCCTGCGTCTAATCTACTGCAGAGTCTAGGCATCCACATCCCACCTGACGCAGATCAGCCCTGATAAGAAATGGAAGAATCAACTCACAGATTCTTATCACGCACTCAGCGTTCCTTCACCTAATAAACTTCAGCTGTTGCTCTATCAGCTGACTATATTTGAATTTATGATGTTCTGTTCCACACCTAGTACTGAATTGTGAATTATTACCTCCAAACATTGATATTTTCTTCAAAACAGAGCACTTCCATTAAAATTGACTGGGAATTTCTTCCTGCACAAAATCTGAGAAGTTGTTTATCATGTTGTTCATAATTAAAATGTATTTTACTCCCTCTTTTTGAATAAAGATAATATTTTCTGAGATGTTTCTAATTACAGTTAGTGTCATTTTGTTGGAGATTTATAAAAACCTATTGTTCTGCTCTACAACAGAAATATCAGCTACAGCTCCGCTATCTGTCAGAGAAAAGGAAGGGGAATGTTTCCCTGTGCTTATCTACGCTGATAAACTAAACAAATCGCATGCTGGTGTAACATTAACCAAGTCTATACAGATAAATCAATCATGCCTGATTAGAAGCAAAGCCACACAGCTCCGATGGTGAACTTTTTTAACCTCTTGATTCTCGCTTGGAAAGACTTTGGCCTATGCAGGTAACAACACTAACAAGTTATAGGATTTCTGGTGGTCTAAATTTGTGCATTACGTACTGTGTCCGTCATTAAGAAAATATGCAGGAAATGTAATACATAAGATTAATACAGGAAATGACAAGAAAGAAGCTGAAACACTTGGGAATTTAGTTTGTGTATGAGAAAACCTCAATATGTTTTATTTGCTCCATAACAATAATACTGTAGTCTGCACTGTAAATTAGGAGCTAAAGAAATACATGAGTCACAGGTTTTCTATTTAAATAATATATATTACTATTGTAATAGTCTTAAATTGTTGATTTGCTACTTATGGCTGTGATTTCTACAAACCATACATTTTTACCAATGTAAAAGGCTCTGTTGTGAGTGTAAGGTTACTGTAAGATTAAGCTCTTACTGTAGTATAATATACTTGGGTGAATCTCACAAAGCATGTCAAGAACATGCTTAGATCATTTTTCACCTTCAAAATATAAATATATATATATATATATATATTGCATTAAAAAATAAGGCTTATTTTTAAGACCATTAAAGCCATTAAAAGCATTCTCCATTCCCATTACCGTAATGCATTCAGATGCTAGTTTGTCATTTTCATTACTAATACAGTAAAGAAAATCTTCCTGTCTGACTTTTAAAAAATAAAAGCACAAAATATAGGCATAAATTAATACCAATACAACAATAACTTAATTTTTGCATTGAGGTAATGGGAATGATTTTTTTTTACTGTGAAATGGTGAAATTGTGGTGAAACTATCATCACAATTACATTACAACGCAATAACCCCTAAAGGTCCTAAAAGGGCTTTATTTTCTTTATGCAAAATATAATTAGTTATTTTCATTCTCAGAGCTTCCAGCTGACAAATAGAAAATAATGGGTAATTCTAACTCAGAATAATATAGTCTGTACAAAAAAAAAAGCTGGTTTGAGATGTCTGAGAAACCTGTACTTTGTCTTTACAATAGAATTCCAGAACTTATAACTTCCTTCATGAAAACACCTAAGTCATAGTTTCAGTGCAAGCAAAGAAAGAAGTCGCACGTCAGTGCTTGCTGGTAGTGTAACCATATCAAATAATTAATTCGAATTATCTTTACACAAGGTTGTCACGCCTATAAATTATAAGTTTTAATACTGTTATCATCAATCATGTATTTGATTGATCAGGTATTTGATTGCTTATTCTACTTAGACTTTTGCTCCTCAGAATGATCTACGCTCTGATTGGTCCGTATGTCCTATAGCAAACTGAACAAGGGCAGTACGAGCCCTCTGCTGGCATGCAGCACGGCTGCTGGGAGAGCAGATAAATACAGCGCTGTTACATCCACAAAAAGAAGCTGCACAGCACCCAGCAGCAACATCCCGAGCATGTATCCCAGAAACAGCAGACTGTGCCAGTTGCCATGAATCAGTGCCTTTGGGCCGTCAGGGTGCAAAACACACAGGAACCCTAATAAGAGGGTACGTGACACTGTCAGATTGTAGTAAAGGTCAAAGGTTGAGGCATGGCTTCGCTCCGTTTGGGAAACTTTAGCCAGCCAGGCAAGAGACAGGCTGTGGAGGACCAGGCTGAGAGGAGAGTAGACGTACTCCAGCGGTTCCATCACATGCAGTCCTTCACAGGCTGGAAAGAGAAAAATGCGATTAAAAATCGGAATTGCTGTTTTAACAATCGCTAAGACCCATTTCTCAATCAAAACTCTTCACACAGTGAGCACAACAGCAATCTATGTGGGCTAAACTGTGGATCATATAAGCCCCTTTCACACAGAGATTCCGGAAAATACACGGATAAAGCGACCCGGGATTTGACCCGGGTTCGTTTGATTTTGCTTCATTCACACTGCCAGTGATTTGCCGGAATCAGAGAGCGCGTTCACACACAACCCGTGTATGTTCCGGAAAGACACGTGACATCGATGTGACATGTAATGTCTCAGCAACGTGTATAGTTTGCTTATGAGCTGCGATTTCTCTCTGGAGAAACCACGCTTGTGCATTTTTTTCTCTGATTCGATCATAAACTAGCGCATTACGTACCGTTTCACTAGCCTGCTTTCACTTCACTTCAGCGTCATCATTACGACACGGCATTGGTTACGGCTTTTGTTCACACAGCGCGCGTTCCGGGTCTGAACACGGCAATGTTACTAGGTCCCCAACCCGGCATCGATCCCGGCATCAGTCCCGGGTCGTGTTTGCGTTAACACAGAAGGCACTCTGGCAATTTGCCGGGTTCAAAGCGCTGTGTGAAAGGGGCTTTACAGTCATGGCCAAAAGTATTGGCAGTGACATAAATTTGGTATTTCGCAAAGTTTGCTGCTTCAGTATTTGTAGATTCTTTTTTAGTCTTATGTTTCTATGGTATACCGGAAAACAATAAAACTTATGAAATGCTTAAAGGCTTTTATTGGCTCAGTCACAGTGGCGGTTCTAGCCCATTTCAACTGGGGGGGCCAAGCTGGGGCCAGTTGTACTGTTAGAGGGGCCAGTTACATTTAGACCTTATTGTTGTCATATCATTTTCTGCACTACTGCAGGCATTAACAGGCAAAATACCGTGTTTATAATCATTCAACAATGTATTTGCATTTCCATTATATTTTTACATTTGCATTACATATTCAGTATTAGTCACAGTAACTGTAGCCTAATAGACATGATGTCCTTCTTTCTCTTCATTTTGAGAACTATAGAGCAAAAGCAAAGGGGACCAAGAAGCTTATTAATTCATTTACTGAAAATAACTGACTTTCTAGGTAACTACGTCTAACCGTTTACAGGGTTCCTGCACACTTTTTAAAGTCAAATTTAAGGCTTTTTAAGACCTAAAGAAATCAAAATTAATACCGTACATTAGGGGTGTGCAATATTGACAAAAATATATTTCAATATTTTCAACGTTTTGTTGATAATAATTAGATGATATTTTACTGATTGTGTTTTTGTGCTGGTGCCATGGCTGGTTTAGGCCTGTTGTTGACAGTTGACTCACGAAGATATTCATATTTTTCATATTATATGGTCAGTTCACAGCAGTGACAGAAATAATTTTTTTAATTAAGGGGCAATATTTGCCACTTTAAATTGATTTCCAGGGGCATTTTCACCTATATATGGACATTTTTTCTCAACTTATTTAGAGTTATGCATCACCTTTTATGTCAAATACTAACATTCAAATTATACAATAATTAGGCCTATAATTATTTATACAATAAGACTTAATTATACAATAATTATACAGTGCCACTGCTACCAGTCAAATTAATTAATTCAATCAAAATCCATCTTTGCAGTGCAGAGGTGACACAGAATATGGCATTAATACATTTACACTCCATTTACAATAGCATAAATAAAGCTATGAGATTTTTTTTTAATCAATATTTAAATATGAAATGATTTCTAATTTTAACGTTTTAATTAAAGGATACTTTAAATATGAAACTAAAACCGCCAGTAGGCGGCGGCAAGTCCCTGTAAGAGGGATTCATTCATTCAACCGATTTGTTCAAACGGCTGATTCATTCAGGAAAGAAGCAAGTGATTCGTTCAAAACGCGGATTTCAGACTAGTCAATAAATCATCGCTGTGTTGCATTGAGACTCTGCTACGGTTTCATTATGAAATTCTTGTCGGCGAAATAAAGGGAAAACAAACAATATTGACAATATTGTGTCTAAAAAGTTCTCCCAATGTTAACTTATTGTTAATTTAACTGTTGTATAACATAAATATCACAGTTGTAATTGTGCACGGGAAAACTGCACTCTTGCTGATGTGATATTCTAATATAAGAACATAATGATATAAATATAAGACAAAAAAACTAATTTGGGGACATAGCCTACCTATGAACTGCACACCGCAGTGACGATAGACAAACGCGATGTCACCTCACAGTGCCTCGTACATAGTTAAAACAATGATTACAATATCATAATAGACAATAGGCTACACATCACACACCCCATTCGCACATAAAGAATGAACTTACAACTGAACTGACATTTACCAACTTTCTCCTTCTCTCCTCTCTCGCGTGCAGGAGACAGACGTTATTCTGCCGCGATTCCCGGGAATGTGATGCGAATTGTCACGTGAAAATGCAAATCCACAAAGATAGAATAATAAAAAATAATACGCATACAACGATAACAACGATAGCAAAAAACAGTTTTGTAAAAATTATTTCAAACTCCACATTTAGGGGGGCCACAAGGGGGGCCAAGCTTTTTGTCACAGGGGCACTGGCCCCCCCTGGCCTCCCTCTAGAACCGCCACTGCTCAGTCAATATCTACAGTGTTGCCCCTTCTTCTTCATAACCTCTGCAATTCACTCCAGCATGCTGGATATCAGCTTCTGGGCAAAATCCTGACTGATAGCGATCCATTCTTGCCTTATAGCCTAGTACTCAGAGTTAATCACAATTTGTGGACTTCTAAAAGGTAACTCGCCTTTTAAGGATTGAATACAGGTTCTCTATAGGATTAAAATCCGGGGATTTGCTTGGCCACAAATCCAAAATTTCAATGTAATGATCGCCATGCCACTTCATTATCACTCTTGCATGCATCTGATCACTCTGCACAATAATCTAAGAACAATGTGAATCCAACCCACAACAACTAAAGCAGCAAACTTTATGTCACTGCCAAAAGTTTTGGCCATGACTATCATTGATTTGGCACAAAATACATTCAATGACTACATCTTTCAAATTACATGAATGAATTATTTTCTCACTCAGACACAACCACCATCAAAACTCTATGCACCTACAGAACAATTTGCAAAACTGAATAAGATATCATTTTTTTAACACCATATTAAAATATTTTCCAAATCTAAAAAATGAAACTATCAAAACAATTTGATGTTAAAGGAGAACTCCGGCGCAAAATGAACCTTTGGTCTAATTACACATTGTTACCTAGTCAACCGTTATCTGAGATTTGTTTTCATGATTATCGAATGTAAATAGTTTTATCTCTAAAAACAGTTTAGCCTATAAAGCTAGTATAACGCTAGTATATTGGGCATAGATCAATGACAAATAAAAATCTCTTGTTAATACCACTAACAAGGCTCAAAATAGCCCCACACTAACACGTTAGCATAATGAGGGTCCCTACCTTCAAACCGAAGCATTGAGAACTTTGTCAGTGTCCAGACAGTTTAATAAGAAGATATTTTAAACATACAGTCAACTTCGCGTATACAGGCAGGAGCCATCTTTGAAATACAGCCTTTACCAGTCGATCTACGAACGCCGATCCAAGCCTGCTGTTCGCGCTCACCTTATCACAACTTATAGCTCGTTCACATCTCACCAGCGCACTTGGATCGGCGTTCGTAGATCGACTGGTAAAGGCTGTATTTCAAAGATGGCTCCTGCCTGTATACGCGAAGTTGACTGTATGTTTAAAATATCTTCTTATTAAACTGTCTGGACACTGACAAAGTTCTCAATGCTTCGGTTTGAAGGTAGGGACCCTCATTATGCTAACGTGTTAGTGTGGGGCTATTTTGAGCCTTGTTAGTGGTATTAACAAGAGATTTTTATTTGTCATTGATCTATGCCCAATATACTAGCGTTATACTAGCTTTATAGGCTAAACTGTTTTTAGAGATAAAACTATTTACATTCGATAATCATGAAAACAAATCTCAGATAACGGTTGACTAGGTAACAATGTGTAATTAGACCAAAGGTTCATTTTGCGCCGGAGTTCTCCTTTAAGATGGTAAGGCCCGTTCACACCAACGACGATAGTTGTAACGATAAAGATATTGTTTTAAAAATCGTTCCAAACGTAAAAGAATAGCAGACTCCACACAACAACTATAACGATAACGGCACAGAGGAACCATATTGTTGGAATCACTTTCACAACGATTTTTTTTCTGATGAATGAAAAAAACATTGACAGCCAATCAGAATCCAACAGACTTTAAAGAGCTCGAGCATTTAAAGCGACAGATGACATATTTGCAGCGCGTGCTTATAATAAACAGAATGCTATCTTGTGTTGGTGTGGATGCTAATATAGTTTCCATTAGTTACTGTATCTTTATAGTTATCATTCTTATGCTGAACGAGTCTTTTCATTATACAAAAGACAACTTAGGAATAATTTTGTACTGTTATGTACACATGGACCATGTAACATATATTGCATTTTGGATGTGAAATTCACTGCTGTGCCAAGCTGAAAGTTGATTAGGAGAGCTGTGTGAAGAGTTTTGGGGGGAAAAGAGTATTGAGAAATGTGTCCCAGTGAAACCCATATCCCATGTCCCATATTTGAAGCCATCATACCTGTGACGCTGACGGAGGCGATGGTGAGAACTGTCAGAAGGCAGGAGACATGGATGGAGCCTGGCATATTCAGTGCAAACAGGTGACCCAAGCTCACACTGACCATTGGGAGGAAGCGAGTGATTAGAGGGTACAGGCCAGAGTGGGAACAGGCTTCAGCCCATACGGCCAGAACACACTGGACGCTCCCGCAAACTGCCGGCACAAACAAACGCTCGGCTAGCCTCAGTGAAAAAGGTTTCAAGTGGATCAGACCCACACCATGCAAAGCTAGCAGTGCCATGAGATTCAGAAGTACCTGGAGGGAACAAAGCAGGAATAAGCACCTAAAAACAACACATCAGAGATTCAATCATGAAACACACCGTGCCATAAATGCCAGGAGAGTCATATACTGCAAACTTTTCATTGTGTACCTAAAAACACTGAAGGCAATTTTAGAGGAAATGATAAACCTAACAGATGATAATGTTACATGGAAATTTGTTTCCAGACCTGAGAGAATATACACTGTATTGACTGTTTTTTATTTTTTTATTATGATTATTAATGATACTGTTTTGGTAATTGCGTGTACTTACAAGTGTCTTTGATTTACGAAATTATTGAAGGCCTGCTTTCTGTATTTTTCCTCGAAACGGAAAATAAAAAATTACAGAAAAAAGATAATGTTACATGAAAAGCAGTAACAGCTGCTGTATCAAACTATTTTAAAGAACATTTTTAACATGTTTTAAATTATTATACATGCCGTTTTATGACCACATTTAATACACTGAATATTTGGTGTAGTTTAAAAAAGTTTAGGTCATTTTACACACCACAAGTCTACAAATGGTTAATTTATAAGAACTTTGACCAGTTACAGCACACAAATCTACACTTTCCTACAGTATGGGGTCCAAAAGTCAGAGATTACATAGAAAATCCCAGAAATACACAAGGTTTTAAGATTTTGAAACAAAAATTAAACAAAAACACATACATTTAATAAGAACTATTTAGAATTCTGCACTATTTCTAGGTCACTAATCAAATAATTTGTGACATTGATCATGTGACTCTTTGTACAGATGGTCAGAAGTTCAAAATGCTCGATCTCAAATCATGCTGATGAACATGATCATCAGGTTTGAAACACTCTTGTGGGTTGCATCTGAAATTGCATACTACCCTACTATATATAGTAGGAAAAAACAGTATGTGAAAAGAGTAGTATGTTCAAATTTATAGTATTCATAAAACATTAGGCGAAAAGAAATGACTTCTACCGGCAGATTACTTCTACCCGTGCACATCTAATGGATCTAATACTATCCCATGAGGTCATGGAAGAGGATTTGGAAATGGCCGTGAAGTGACGCTGGGAAGTCACATGATAATAACAACATGCCGAATGTAGTACGTCCGTATAACATTTAAATTACATATTCAATAGATATAGAATGTACCTTTTCCACGTCTGTATGTGATTTTGCACACAGCCGTGGAGTGCATGCAAAAGAGGGAAAAACCAAATGCAAAGACATTCTAATTTTCAAATGCATTTTTTATATTCAATGTTTTACTCAAATTGTGATACTGATTTAATTAACAAAATCAAAAAAATAACAAAAAGAGTACTACATTATAAAAATGCAAAAAGCAATACCAGTAGTCTCAGACTCTGAACCCACTGTAGATATATATTTTAACCTAAAATCTTCGATTTGTCGATTGCCAACATCCCATCTGCATCCTAAATTTATAGCCAGCCATAATATGCAAACACACAAACACTAAAAGGACTCTTATAAAGGAGTTTATAGCACTAGTCCAATGATCACATGTGGCACACCTAATGATTCATCCAAGAGCTGCCCAGTCTTGTGCTTTTACACCCTACAGATAATCAATACGCACATTCAGATATATTCCTAACATTGATGATGATACAGTATATATGCCCATTTCTCATGACTTTAAATAGTGATGGTCCATTTAACATAGTCCTTGTTTACTGAGCTCCCCGTTAATATTCATTGTGTAAAAAACAGCAGCTTAGACATACGGCAAAATATCTTTGTGAGTGAATAAATTGTTTTGGTCTCCTTTTAAGCTTTAAAATGTACTTATTCAATTCAGGTTCTTCAAAACTGGCCAGAACTTTCTGCACTGACCCCAAATGCATGACTAGAAAGCCTGCCAAATCATCTGATCATAAGGCAACTATAAAATATGCATGATCAAGATCATAAAACAGATGTAGAACTGATAAAGATGAACTGATAAAGATGTAGCTGTGTGAGCAAAGTACCTGTATGAATGCAAGTGGCACCGCATAAGGATAGTGATACTGGGGAATGAAGATCCTGCTTACAAAACTGTGTAGATTATCCGCTAGAGCGTACACAATCACAGCCACCAAAGCCGCGATGCACAGCAGGAGTGGCACCAGGGGTTTGCACACTTCATACACACAAGCTCTGAGAGCATGCGGCGTATGCATCTGCCACCACGCCGAACTAAAACACAAATGGACAGACAGTAAAATAAATATATGGCTTAATATTTTTTTTTTTTTTTGCACCTAAGAATATCACATTCGAGATACTGATTAATCTCACAAGCATTGATGATAAAGATGATTTTATTGCCACTATTTGCAAGCAAGTATTCACATTTAAAAAATGTATCTCACCATCTGGACACCAGATTTTGCCATGGGTCCATACTAGTGGTCCACCCACCCCGGGACCGGTGGAGTGGAATACTGGTTTAGATTTTGACCCCTTTAAAGCATGAGGGGTTGGAGGATGGACGTAAAACTACCTGTACACAAAAGACAAGTAATCATAAATAAGTAATAAATTAAAATATATATATAAAGGTAAAAAATAATAAAGACACAGACCATTATTTTAGCCAATAATCATTTAAGCAATTTGAACAAAAAACATAACCATGTTGTGTTTTGTCCTGTAATATGTCATTTTTAAAACACTTTTAAAGTCCACAATTTAAAATTAAAGCCATTTAATTCAAATTAATAAAAAAATAAAAATAAAATGTAAAGTCAAATCAAATAGAATTAAAATATAAAATATAATGAAAATAAATTATCTAAGCAAATTAAATATTATACAGAAAATATTATTGACGTTAAGATAGACCAACTCACATTGCTTCATGAGACAATCCCCGTTATGCATTTCCACCACGGATTGATTGAAACTTGTTTAGTTTAAGGTCACGAAACAAGCACGGGTGTACTTTGAGCTGTCACTCTGAGAGTTAAAAATACAAATAAATGTAACTTCCCTCGATGAGAGATTTTCTTTCCGCCGTTAAGATCAGTGTTTCATCCTGGATTTAGTTCTTTCCGTTTCGTGACTCGTTTGAGTGCTTGAGAACATAAAGTGACTTTACCTGCGATAGGCTCAAAGCAGAGGGCAAGCGGAGTTAATGATTGAAACGTCACCTCGCAGCGTGAACGCGCTCGGTAAGCTCGGTAAACAAACAGTCTCCTGACGCCGACGGAGAGTTGTTGTTGTGTGCTACACTTTGCACAAATAATTAACCAAGCAGGTGACTAACAATTTAGGCGTGTTATGCTTTATTTCTTTGTAAAATACAAACAAAATAGTTTTAATCATGCTGTTATGTAGCCTACTTAAGACGATTGCCTCCTTTCTTTATTGGGCAGATAATGTATGGTTATAAAATGTAAAACAGACAGAATAAGGGAACATTTGTTTGCCAAACCTTTCTATCTAATGCCATGCCAATCACCCTTCCCTCAACATAAACTACTGGCTGCAAACATTTGTAAGCTCCAAGCATAATTAATTAGTCTACACAATGTAGTAGGCTACAAATATAATCATATGTCATTTTGAATGTTAGCTATGTAGCTACATGAAAGTAACTTGTTAATAATATTAATGTAAGTTAATAGTCAAGAAAATAGGAAGAAAAGCTAAAGGTAGTAGGTAAAGTAATTGAGCACACTGGCAGTTTCAAAGACACGACTTGACTTCATAGCAGCGTTTGCATAGGAAGGCCCTTCCTAAGGATGTTTTCTGATTTCACAAAGGTCGAAAAAGGGATCTCAGCAGACAGGGCGTGTCACGTGACATATTTGAATAATGCCTTCCTATCTCCATATTTGAGCAAGGAGTAGGCCTAGAGTGACTAAACATGAGTGACTCACCACAACCAGTTTATGGGAATAAAAAGTAGGCCTATACAGATCATTTTATGTTATGCTTGAGAGTTAAGATGGCTTCCAATTGGCCCTACAATAAAATGTAGGCATATAACACAGACAGGGTAAACAAAACATCCATTAAGCCCATGATACATCACTAATAACAAAACAAACATTTCTGTCTGAATATGTGTGCTCATCAGGTATTTTTTTTGTGGCTAGCAGCTGGATCCACAGAATAAATGGAGAAATGTACTGAGGGTAAACAATTATATCCATGACAGGTGGGTGTGAATAGAACAGACAGTCAATGCAATATCACCATGACAACCCAGTACTTATTAATCAGGTCAAATATCAGTAAGAACATACCAATATGGTGACATCATAGTACTGATGAATGCCAGTGATGGGTCAATGAACGAAAGGACATTTTTTTAAGTCATTATTTACTGACTCTTATGTCATTCCAAATATTCTTTAAAAAAAAGAATTCACAGAAAAGGTATATATTTGGGCTGTATAAAAGAGGCTGCATTTATTTGATCAAAATACATTAAAAACTGTAATATTGTGAAATATTAAAATAATAAATATACAGAACTGAGGAATGTTTTCTATTTTTATATCTAAGTGTAATTAATTGGTAACACTGAATTTTTAGCAGCCATTACTTAACATGATCCTATTATAATTATCATTCTAATGCTGATTTGGTGCCAAATTACTATATCAACTATATCAATTAGGCCTATTTCAAATATTATTGGTGCTCAAATATTAATGATGGTTCTTATTATTATCAATGTTGAAAACTGTTTCTGCTGCTTAAACGTTTTGTGGAACCAGTGATACATACTTTGAATAATATAGAATTTATTCAAATAGAAAAACAGCATTTAAAAAAAAAAAAAAATCACTTATCCCAAACGGGAGTCTATCGGATGGTTTCAACAAAAATATTAAGCAACAAAAACTGTTCTCAACATTGATAATAAAGTTGCTTGAGCACCAAATCTGCATTTTCCTATTAGTTTTGAAAGTGACACTGAAGTTAATGGAGCGTTTCATAGTGTTTGAACTTGGACTCAAATATAAAGAAATGCGGTTAGTGCTTAACTCAAGGAGTGAGTTCTTCAGTGCAGTTGGCAATATATTCACATAGGCTATTCGAACTTCCCGGATCAATATTCTTGAGCTAAACGTTGTTAAAACACAAACGACACTTATTTACAATCTCAGTAACCTAGACAACGAACTACAACACAATTCTCCTCAAAACGAGCTTTAGCCTATAATAGGCTAAATGGATCTCTATGTGCAGGCGGCTGAAGGGACCATCTGCAAAGTGCAATATAACCCCCCCCAAAAAACCCGACTACAGCATCAACTCATAGTCAAAAATATAAAAAATAGTCATTAACTTCAATATTACAAACTGCCACCCAATTCAGTTTACACATGGTGACCCACTGGTCATACTACACTGCTTTTGCACATTTTATATTATGAAAAATATTCTATAACTTCACTGTAACACACCAAATTTAGTTCACACATCACTGCTCTAATGTTGCTGGTTATACAACACTTAGTCTGGGAAGTAATTGCACATAAAAAATAAGTAGGTCTATCTTTACACAAATTATATTGGTTCCATACGCAGCTAACATAGGCCTAACAGTTACAACCATAGCTTTTGCATTATATTTGCTTACTGAATTTGATGGCATTACACTGTATAACAGTGTGAAGTTATTGAATATTTTTTTTCTAAAAAGGGTTAAGTTATTGATTTTATTTCATAATAAATAATCATAAAAAATATGCATTTTTTTTTTATCAAACTAAGTATTGTAGTATAACCAGCAGGAGAGCAGTGATGTGTGAACTGAATTTGGTGACAGTACAGTGTATCACATAGCCTGGCATGCTAGACCTACATCAAATAATTTTCGCTGCCGCTAGGGTGCGTCTAGATTTCTAGGCTATGTATCACAGTGAAGCTATTGAATATGTTTATATTCTGTTATATTAATGTTTATCTACTCCATAAACTAATTGTCTTTGACTTCTCACTTCCCCTTGTAAAACAAAAAACTTAAACTACCATATCTTATCGGAACCTGAGATCTTTAACTGCTGACAACTTCTCTGCTGCTATTGCTGTCTCTGCTCTTCCTTCTGCACTCAATCTCCTGAATCCTGATGATATAGTTTCAACCTATGATACATCTATTGGTAATTGGTAAAAACTGATTATCAAATCTAATTCTACCTCTTGTACACTCAATCCTCTTCCTGCATATCTTCTAAAAACTTTTCTGCCTTCACTTATTCATCCTATATTACTCAGGGCCGTCGCCAGAACAAACCAAATGGGGGGGCATTTAATTTTCATAGGGGGGCACACTTTTTTTAATGATCTGAGACAGACCAAAACAACAACCCATATTAGGCTAGTTTGCTCAGCTCATAGGACTTGATGTTAATATCCCTAGTAATCAGCACTTCCTTGTTTTAAGTGGGGAGAGGGGTAAGAACGTCATTAGGGTCTTGAGGTGGGCACCCTCCTTCACCGGTGTTTCGTTGAAAAACCCATGACACCTCCAAAGGGCTCAACGGCAACACCTGGCGTCCCAGGTGAGCCCCTTTCTGCTTTTACCCCTCTTTATTGTTCTTTGCAGCCCAGTTGGTGTCCTTCCTCTTTATCCAGATCCATCTGCTACGCTCTGCTACCTCCGACAGTGATCTGATGGCTTTCCTGAAGGCCTGTCCCCGAACTCCCACCCCCTTCAGGAGTCTGGTTATGGATGTGGCCACAAATCCTCTGCACCCAACCTCTACTGGAAGTACCTGTGTACGCCAGCCTTGTTGTTTTGCCTCAACTGCTATATCAGAGTACTTCAGCTTTTTCCGTTCATACGCTTCTCCCACAGCAGCCTCCCAAGTAGACCATAAAACAAGATCCGTGTTTAAAATCTCCGGTGGAAACTTGAGTTGCTGATCTAAGTCCACTTGCATTTTCCAGTCCCGCGCGGCATCCAAGAGGGTGCTATCCACTATTGCAGCTGTTTTCACTGGGCACTGCCCTGCTCTCACGAAGGGGATATTGGATGAGTGTCCGGCTGTTGGGTGAGGGAGGGCATTGATGGACGATCGCCTTCCTTCCAGAATGACAGCCAGTTGGCGTAGGACTTGGTTGTGCCTCCAGTTGTACCGGCCTTGGGACAGGCTGGTTTTGCAGCCGGTGAGGATGTGCCTGAGAGTTGCCGGGGTTTGGCAGAGAGGGCATGCTGGATCATCTCCAAACCACTGTTTAAGATTCTTGGGTGTAGGAAGAACATCATAGGTGGCCCTGATGATGAAGCTGATTTGGCTTCCTTCCATCTCCCACAGATCTCTCCAAGTGAGTTTACGGTGCTCCAGGTTTTCCCAGGTAGTCCACTGGCCCTGCTTGGCCTGTGACACTGCCTTTGCGCATCTCTCTGCTTCCTGTTGGTGCCGGACCTCAGCTACTACCAGCTTTCTTCTCTCTGCAGGTATTGCCTTGTGCCATGTAGGTCGACTTGTCCCAAGTCCAAACCCATATTTTCCTTGCTGCACATGTCCCAGTATGTCTCCATGTCTGAGAGTGGATTGTGCTTGCTCTACCGCCTCAGCTGGGATCCACTTCCTCCCAGTTGCCAATCTGGGAGGAGCTGTACTTATGGCTGCATCTTGAGACTCTGCCAGGGTCATGCTCAGTCTCACTTTGGTGCACTTATATTCTTCGCTGAGGCTAGAGATAGGCAGTTCCAGTGCACCGTGTCCATACAACCCGATGTTACTGAGGCAGCGCGGGAGTCCCAGCCACTTCTTGACGTATGCACTGACTGTCCTCTCCAGCTTCTCAACTTTGGAAATGGGAAACTCGTACACCGTTAGAGGCCACATTAGACGGGGGAGCAACCCAAACTGCAGACACCACAGTTTCAACTTGCCCGAAAGTTAAGTCTTATCAATACTAGTCTCAGCCTCAGACGTCCCGCCCACGGAACGTTGGCTAAACGTCTGATGTATATGGTACACTTAACTGGAAACACTTCAGGAATGTCGAAGTCGTCATCTGATTGGTTGAATTTTATCGGATTTCCGGGGGGTGCGAGTGTCGCGACTCGCGTTTATTTTCGGTCC